CCCCCCCCCCCCCCCCCCCCCCCCCCCCCCCCCCCCCCCCCCCCCCCCCCCCCCCCCCCCCCCCCCCCCCCCCCCCCGGCCCCCTGAATTCGAACCGTTTCTGCATTTTTCTGCGAATTGTTTTTTGTACTTCTACAACTTTTAAAAAAATGAACTCAAAGAATACAAATATTACAAGAACGTTTTTTGAAATGCAAGTATACGAATTGGTTAACATGCAACAAAATAAAGGGTTTAGTTAAATTATTCTTTTTTTACCAGAAAACGTGAGGAGAGTATCAAAACAATGCCTACAAAATTCTTGCAGAAAACTTACTATGGTACTTCTCTTTTACCAGAACCTCATATTACTATAGTATCAAATATTTCAATGATTTTAACTGCGTTTCAATGCTTTTTAGTTTCTTTTTTTCCCCCCTTTTGTCGAAATATGAAGTTTAAAAGTAACTCTGCATATTTTATTTAAAACAATCTGTATGTCAACGATTACATTTATTATCTTCATTGTTAACACAATAAATGTACGATGCATGTATAGTATAACTACGAAAGAGGAAGCTTCGTCTTTAATATTTCTTATTGCACGATAATTGTTGTGCTCTTTGATCTTGTGTTATTTTCATCGTAATTGGATTACAGTTTAAAGAGATAAAAGTCAAAGACACAGCGTCTTTCTTTTTTGATTGTTATAGTATAAATACGATATATATTAATGAAGTACTGCGAAGATAAAAGATAAATTCATTTAACTATGCATTACTGTGAATAACATTTTTGAAAGTTAAAAAATTGTAAAATATTTTTTGTTTGGGAATTGAAATAATTGTAAAATGATTTTTTTTTTGATATTTTAAATATATTTGAAATCGTCTTCATTTTTTTGAAGAATGTTATATTTTTATTGCTCTGAAAAGCCTGGGGGTGTGGGTGTGTAAGTGAAGAATAGACATACACCCACACCCACCCTCAAGATAAATGACTTTTTGTGTTAAGAGCTGTTGCTTTCAACTCTGTCATATATTTTGTATGTGGAAAAGATAATTAAAAACATTAGAAAACATTGACTCTTTGAGTAACTCTTTTCGGGAGGTCGTAATATCTAACTGTTCCGAGAGTTACTTTTTCAAGTGCTTTTATTCCATCTGCTGTTTTATATATCATTAGATCTGTGAACGAAAATTCTACAGCATTATATGTGATGAAACTAGGGATGAATGGGTACAGAACAATTGTGTTTTACTATTAGATCTGTTGATAGTGATTTTGTTGTGCACGAAGACGTACTTGGAATGTATGGTGTAACATCCCAATCAGCAAAACATATTACAAGCATTATTCTTGATATATTTATTCGATGTAATTTGGATATAAAATACTGTCGATGACAAGGCTATGATGAAGCGGCAACAATGGCCGGTCATGTATCAGGTGCATCAACAAGAATCACAAGTTTATGTAAAAAAGCATTTTACACTCACTGTATTGCACATTCTCTAGATCTTTCAATGCAAGATCTAACTCGTACATCATCAAGTGTTTCCATTGCTTTAAATATGACAAATGACATAGTTAATTTTATGAGAGAATCTCCAAAGAGATTGAATTTGTTAGATACATTAAGTGGTTTAGATTCCTACACTAAATTAAAACCACTTTGCCCAACTCGATGGACGGTGCGTTCATCGTCCTTGAATGTATTCCTAATTAAGTATTCGTTAGTGAAAAATGCGTTAACAGAAATCAATCTAGAAGGTGGACGTGTAGCACCGAAGGCAAATGGTTTATTCGAACAAATGGGCAAATTTTCATATTATTTCGGATTAAAAACAGGCGAGTATATCAAGCTATATTCAAACTAATGTATTTTCATGACTTAAATCTTTAGGCCATCTAATCTTTTCCGCCACTGAGGAGGTGTCCTGTGCTTTGCAACGTGTAGAAAATAATCTACAAGATATTTTATGTGCAGGTCAAACTCTAACAAGATATGTAATGAGAATCAAAACGAATGAGTGCTTTACAATATTTTATGAAGGCGTTCGAGATGAAGCAAAATTATTAACAAATGAACCATCACTACCACGTACTCGAAAACCACCATCAAGATTTGTTGACTCTCTACCAACATCATTATCATATGAATCAATCTGTGATCTTTATCATGATGAATATTTTGAAATCATTAACAATATTTTGAATTCACTTGATTCGCGCTTTAAACAATCAATTTTCCCATTGTTATGTAAAGTTGAACAATTTATTCTATCAACAGCTAAGGTACACAAGTTTGTGATGATGCAAAAAAATAATTGATATTGATGAATTTTTGACAGATGATATTAATGTTGACCGATTAAATCTTGAATTAATGATGTTACCTGATTATTTTTCGAGCATTAACAAGGAGAAAAATTAGGCCTCAAGAAAATAACAAAAATTAGTACGGTGTGTGAGCTTTTAAATGCACAACAGCTTGGTAAAAGTATGTTTTATGAATACTGCAAATAGATAACATTATATTTGACAGTACCTGCAACAACAGCCACTGTCGAAAGATCGTTCAGTGTTCTTAATAGAATAAAAACGTATTTGCGCTGCACAATGAGTCAACAACGTTTAAATCACGTTATTATTCCTCACATTCATAAAAATAAATTAGATTTACTTGATTTAAAGAGCGCCTGTTCTGATTTTATTTCAAAGAATGAAAATAGAGAAACATTTTTTGGTGCTGTGTGGTTTTATTATATTTTCCCAGGTCAAATACGTACGGTGGGAGACTGCCTGATCCGGTGATTTTCCATCGAATTCCGGAAGCAGTATTCCGAATAGTTTTCCGGTCTCCGTTTCCAGGGTATTTCCCGCTAACTCCTGGTTCCGGAACCGATAAGTGGATACGGTTTCCGTTTACAACAGGATTCCGTACTACGTTTCCGATGGTTTCCATTTACTGCAGGATTCCGGAGTACTTTTCCGATCGTTT